AGTTTTCCTACCACTATTTGTCTCTCAAGTGAAATTCCAGAGTTTCTAGTATGGAAGAAGAAGTTTAGAAATATTAAATAAATACACAGATATACAGATATACAGATAGATACACGGAAAAACACAAAAAAATCTTGAGGAGATTCTCTGCATCTTGAAAATATGCCTGACTGTCCACAAAATTGAGAAGTGAACTGCAAAATGTGAAACAGTTTGAGTAGTGTCACCAAGTCTATTTTGAAAAGCCAAAACAAATCTTTAGAATTCAAACTCTCTAGGAAACATTAAGATCCTTGTACAGATAAATTAGCATTGTTTCTATTTCTGAGTCTGCACACAATTCAGATAGCACACGTGTACACAAGTAGAAACTGGATTTAATTTCCCAAAGATTTCTTGGAGAAGGAATGCATAATTAAGCAAGAAAAATGCACATTCACTTTAAATAAGATCTCTCACAGTCTTCAAGATTTTCCTAGGTCCAGTTCTTAAGAAGAAGAGAATCTTGTTCAATGCATTTCATATGAATAAACTATGTTTCTTGTATTACCACTGGTTTAATTTAAAATTAAAAATATACATGCGCATTATTAACAGACAATGCACACATATATAAATATAAACACAATTTTTTTGTTTTAAAATTGCATTAAGGACAATCCAAAGAAATTCTAATTTGACAAATGCTATTTATATTTGCAAACACTGTGCTAACATCTGGATCAATTCAGAAACCTAATTTCCGTAAAATGCTATCAAAATAATTGCATTAAAAAATTGTATGTACGTTGCAAATTCAATCATTGTGAAAGATACCAAACTAAACTGCATTTAAAAGAAACTGCAAAGGTGAATAAACAAACAAGTAACTGCAGGTATCTGATAACACTGTACTTTTAAGAATATATTGTTCCAACTTACATTTAGATTGAAATTTGACTATTACAGTCCTGTTCTTTTCCAAATCTCTCTCTCTATCTCTCAACTCATTTTCAAGATACTCATTCTAAAGAAACAAAAAAAGAATTAAAAACTGCAAATTAGGAATATTAGCAGTAAAATTCTAATTAAGACTCTGCAGTTACAAAATGCTAAGTGAGTATGAAACATTTGAAAATATTCTAATCCACTACATTCAACAGTGAAATTATACAGTATATGAACCAAAATGAAATGTTACATCATGGACAGCTATTAAAGAAATAGTCTGGCTATAATAAAACCATCAAGAAAAGCTACTTAAACTATAAATAAAATTTATATAAATATCCTTTCTCTGTTTTGTTTTTTAATTTTAAAAAACCTACAATCTACTACTACCTCCTCTGCTTGGCTTCTGTATTATTCAAGCTGTAATTCTGCATAACCACTTAGCACATTCTTAACCAATAAATTTCTGGACAGCTGGTCATTCTAAAAGAACAGGCCAAGAAGTGGCCTTAAACAAAAATCTTCGTTGCTAGTTTGGTCTGAATTAGAAGTTACACACTCCCTTGTTTCTGTAATTTTGATTATTTACTTCTGAGGCCTGCCACATTCTATGATATGCAGAAAATAAACGTGTATAGTCTGATATTGAGTCTGTTGATATTTCTCTCATCTCTATATTACCTAATATCCCTGATGTCAATGTAAACTGTAGTTCTGGTGATAGAAAAAGTTCTCTTATGCTAAGAGTTTCTGAATTACAACTGTCATTAATAACTTGCAACTTTGTCACATGTTTTGAATTTAAATGAAGCAAAGAAGTATTTTTAGCTTTTTTTTTCCCAAGTGATTTAAATTCCCAAGCATGCCAGAAGTTCTTCAAGGTAGATTTTCCACAGCCTCACTCTTTTCAGCTATATCTTTCACGTAGTTCAAAAAGCTAACTGATGCTATTCTATCTGCAAGCGTGTTTCTCATTTCCATGTTATATGTGTTGCTAGCCTATACTCACAGAAAATAAAAAATGTTAATTAGTATTCAAATAAAAGTTTTTAAAAAATAGTAATTTGGCATTTTATAAAAGTAGTTAGTCAAAGATTTTAGAAAATATTTAAACAGACGTTTACAATCTAACACTATTGTTCTATGAAACAGATACATAGTAAATGCTTATGAGCTTGCTTTATAAACCTACCTTTGCCTTTACTTCGGCAATATTATGGGTGTTCAAGAAATCAAATTCTCTCTTACTCATTTGCTTCTGTTCAATGAAGTTGTCTGTTATCTGCACATCACCAGCCTCCAGTGCTAATTGCAAATAAATGTACGAGAAATGAATGACTATGATTTTTTTATTTTTTTTTTTGGTCTTCAAACAAGTAAATATATTCCAGTTAGTAGATCAGAGTTCTATTTTTCTGTCTGCAGAGTAAGGAGCTGCAAACCTTTCCATTCAAACGGATTATATTTGCTTAGACAGCAAAGAGTAGAAATTTTTAAGATTTCTGAAATGTATTCATTATGAAGATGTACTGGAAATCATGGTGAGATAATCTATACATAAGAAGTGCAAACCAGTGACAGTGATGCATTACTAGTCAACAAGTCGAAAATCTATTGGGCTATAAGACCGCAGAAACATAAAACCGCTCCCGTCATCTTACAGATTCAGAGAAAAGTATTTTACCTTTTAATTTAATCTACACTATAAATTGAACAGAGCTGCATTATTTCTATAGACAATGTTCCCACAAGACAGTTTGTAACAAAAAATGTCCTACCTGTCGTGGCAACTTTTCTTCCTTTCTCCTGAGCCAATTTACGAACCTGCTTTTTCAGTTCAATTCTTTCCTCTTCTAGTCTTTCGATCTGCATATTATTAAAAATCAGTACTTCGTTCTGTTCACAGTATTATAATGCAGTAGTTACATAAAAATATTATTTATCACTTACCTCTTTCAAAAGAATCTGGTTTTCAGATCTATACTGCTGCTGTTTCAGTGTTTTGCTGTTTCTGAATTCATTTAAATCAATCATTGCCTTTGGCTCAAGACCTGAAACACAGTACACACATATAATGTGTAATCATTCATTAAGAAGGAACATTAATGTTAATGGTCATTAGTAGATAGCCCATTTAAATAATAATATAATCAGTCAGGGAGAATAAAAAAATAGTAAATTGATGGGTAAATATATACGTATTTCCACACATTATGCTCTGCGTAAAAATAACAGAAGAAATCACAATTTTGCTTCAATTGCTCAAAAAACTGCCATAAAATACCACCCAAAATTCTCTGTACTTACGTTTTGATATCCCCATAAAAAAATAAGCCTGCCCAATTTTTTCCTATTTTTCAATCTAGAATTACAATTTCAATATGTTTTGATTTCTAAATACTAAATTATGAAGCCAATAAATCATCTACAGTCAAGAAAGAATCAAAACTTAAAAGGCAATGCAAAAGTCTCCTCCTTTCTTCAGCCAAAGGAGTCTGTAACATAAATTTAGAAGGATACATTCATTCATTTTTTCCTAACTAAAGCTACTTGCAACTATTAGCAAAATCATGTAAGTATTTCGAAGTAATTACCTGGTATAGTAAAGAAAGTCCATGACATTCTTACACAATCAGTAATTGAAAATGTAATAAATACAACGTACCTAAGCGCTCTCTAAGCTCTTCATTTTCATCAAGAAAATCATTTATTTTAAGTTCAAGTTTATTGATTTCCTTAATTAACATTTCAATCTCGTGATCTCGTATTTTGATTTGCTTTTTTAAATCCTTTATTTCAGCAATAGCCTCTTCCAAACCATACACTCCCTGTAAAAATCCAAATGGGAATTATAAACAAAGCCTCCAACAGAGCTCAGAGAAAAAATTACAAATCTGTTTCATTGTTACAAAGTTAATGACCCTATTTGAAAATAAAACAAGAAGAAACTGCTGTGATTCAGAACTCATGCTAACAATCATAAGAGACCTGTGATAAGCAAAACAAGGACAATAGCCAAGTGATCACGTGAGTTCATCCTCTTGATGGCCTGATTCAGTGTCCACTAAAGTAAATGCTGACCATAGCATATGGCAAATTTCTAACTGCAGTGCCTATTTCTTTCATGCAAACATTTTCAGGAAAACATGCCACAGTACCTGTGATTCTTCATCACTGCATTAAAGGATAGCAAAACTTTCAATTTTGAAATTTTCAAATATCTTTGAAATTAATTCCTCAGGCATATAAATTTGACCAAAAGTGCTAATTGTCAAAGTAATTTTTGAGGAACCTGATTTTTATGTACATATATATATTACTTACATCAAATATTAACTACTTAACAAGAAAATGTTTTTCAGTTATTATCACTCTTCTACACTGTGATTACTACAGTATGCTGTCAAATAAAAGCAAATCCTACAAATCTGTCCTCTAATTACAGAGCCTGCACATTTCGAAACTGAATCCACTTATCATAGGATTCTTTGAAGATTCCATCTTGACTGTGATCAAAAACAGCCAGCACAGCTTCACCAAGGGCAGATCATGCCTGAACAATCTGGCTGTCTTCTATAATGGAGTGATGGTATCAGAGGACAAAGATCAAATGATGTCATCATTCTATGACCTAATAAAATTTCTAATAAAATTTTAATTTTATTAATTAAAATTAAAGTTCAATAGGTTTCACTCACAGTCAGCCTGTGTTCATATGTTAATACTGTCAATTTGAAAACGTTTTTATGTACAGTTAACAAACTGCATACAATTAATGAGCAGTAAGGTTATTATAAAAGGAAGAAAATAGCATTGGAAGACATTCATTTAATTTCTAATTTCAAACACAATCAATAAAACGCAAAGAGAAAATGATTTGCTAAAACTATGATGAAATATTCTGTCCAATTGAACCAACTGTTTACCAGTTCGTAGTCTTTCATTCGTTTCAGAGCCTCAACAAGTTCTTTGTCCTTTTCTTTAGCATCTGCTTCTGCTAGTTCTGCTGATTTCTCAGCCTCCTTAGTTCTCTCTTCTAGCAGTTTTAATTTTTCTTGCATTTCTCCTAGGCGATTCTGCTGAGCAAGAGTTGAGAGACCTGGAAAGAAAAACAATTACCTGGTGACAATTCAGTTAGAAATTCTACCTAAGAAATACTTCAGATAATGTTATAAAGGAGATCTTCATTACCCGTTCTTTTAAGCAAGTAAAGCTACATATTAGAGCATTTTTTTTTCCAATCGTTCCTTAAAACAGCCCTTATAAGAAGTATGCATATAAGAGACATCAGAATTTATTTTGAATTGTATGTAATTAATCACTTGCAGGTCTTTACAGAGGTGAGTTCTTGTATATTGCACTCTAACCTATAAAGACTAAAAGGTTTAATTTTATAAAGATTATAAAATAAAAATATTTTATTAAAGATAAATAAAATAAAAATATTATTTATTTTTTGATGTTACCTCCAAAACCCACTGAAGTTCTGTGAAGAAATTTAAACCATACTTGCATGTATGATAAATGGAAATGAACAAAAAAAAGAAGACATAAATTTTACTTAAATATTTCAATTTTTTTTTATATATTTCTGAAGAATACACCTCCCCTAAGAAGACAGTCTGAGAGAGCTGGGGCTGTTCAGCCTGGAGAAGAGAAGGCTCCAAAGACACCTGATAGCTGCCTTTCATTACCTACAGGTAATGTAGAAAGAAGAAAACAGACAGGAGTCTGTTGTGATAGACAAGGGGAAATGGTTTCAAACTGAATAAGGGAAGATTCAGAGTGGATATAAGGAAAAGGATTTTTCACAATAAGGGTGGTAAGGCACTGGGATGAACTGCCCAAAGAGATGGTGAATGCCCCATTCCTGAAGACATTCAAGGGCAGGATGGATGAGGTTCTGAGCAATCTGATCTAGCTGTAGCTGTCCCTGCTCACTGCAGGTGAATTGGACCAGATACCATTAAAGGACCCTTCTGACTCAAGAAATTCCATGATTGTATAATTTTAATTTAATTTGTTGGTATGTTTCTTCTGTGGTGCTTTGATTAGCAAAGCCATACTTTTAACATGTTAAAATCTTCAGTGTTAGAGACCATAAGGAAAGTAGAATGAGTGCAGAGACTTTTAAAACTTTCTCCCAGAGTAAGTGATCTATCTATAGCTGTCTTTGTTCACTGCATGGGAATTGTAAAGACGACTTCTAAACGTCCCTTTGAACTGAAATGATTCTATGATTCTATAACATTTATTCCTTCTTAATTTCCTTTTAATATATCTTAAAATAACATGCTCAGCTTACCTTTATCTTTTTGGAGATCATTTTTTAATTCTTCAATAAGAAATGCATTTTGTTCCATTTCTTTGGTATACTGTTCGACTTGCTCTGTAAGCAGTCTTATCTGAGCATCTCGCTCTTGCACACCCTACAAAAAAAAACACACACAAAAAAATTGAAGAAGTTCTTTACTGGCCATCTTACTCTTGCACACTCAAAAAAAAAAAAAAAAAAAAAAAAAAGAGAAGCTCTATTAAATAAATTCGTCTTTACTGACACAGAAACTACTTGTACAGAACATCACATTTCTTCAAAAGTACATGATAAATGAAAAGCAACTATGACAAAAAAAAAAAATTACACAACAAGCATATATACTATACTTACAGCATAGAGTTCAGATATTAGCTAGAAGCAGCATATTTAAAGGCAAAGCAAGGAGAACAAAAGAAAGAGTGAAAGTAAAGCATTTGAATAACACAAACACACAGAGGCACTATTTTATCAATTTTACACAGAACAGCTCTCTAAGAGTTAAGAAGCCGGTGCACGATAAAAAGTTTTAGACCAAACAGATTTCTTACTACCTCCTCATTAACGGGTGGTAGGAACTGAGAGTTATATATTCAAGATTGGGAAGACTAACAATCCATCATACGTAACACCTAATTTGAAGGCTAACTTTCAACCAATCATTGACAACTTTTAATACTTCAAACCAAATCTTGCTTAACATGCATACGTATATACATCGGTAGACATGGATTGTAAAACTGTCCATTACCATTATTTCTATGCTTTTACACGAACTTCAGAAATATCACAGAAACCTCAGTTTTATTTCTGGTGTCATTAAAGCAAAAAAGAAAAGGAAAAAAAAAACCAACAAAGAGACTTGGAAAAAAAATTACAGAAAATAATTATATAATATAAAAATTTCAAGAGTTGCTTACCTTACTTAACACCAAATTTATGAAAAACAAAATTTCAAGGTTTCTTAGAGGAAAAATATATCACATGTTAAGAAACTAAACATAACCCTTTAAAATGTGCATATACACTGAACTACAACAAGCTTACTCCATTTTGAGTTACAACACAATGTATTAAGTTTAGTTTTTAAATACTGTCTTTAAAATACGTTTATTCCCACAAGCTGTTCAAAATAGCATAGTGACTGTTGTCCAAAAATCAAATTCTACAGCCATCTGATCAGTTAGAAATAGACTGTTTGACTGCATATCAAAGATTTCTTCAGCTGCTTTCACCTGATTATCAGAGGATGAGTTTTAGAGGTTGAGAAGATGATGTTTTTTTAATTTTCTACTGAGAAGCTATCAGTTCCCAGTCCTGTAAGACTGCATAATTATACCTCATCAAACTATTCAGTCTACAAAGGCCCATAACATACATTCCAGAATTCCTAATTGGAAGTGAGATTATTTTGAATGTTTTAAAGTTTGTCAAGAACACTGAGAAATCCAAAATCATAATGAATTATCTAATTTTAGATTAATAAAAGAGATACTTAAATTCAGCTAGCTTTCACAAGCTGAACCACAGACTTTAACAACAAGGCACCAGAGAAAAACAACAGGAACAGAGAAGATAAAATCCCTAGGGAAGGTTTCTTCCTTGACAGATTTAGAAGATAAACTCAACTACAATTTATCAACACTAAATTCTGGATGCTCAGATGTTAAAACAATCTTTCTGCGAATAGTTAGAAAAGATAAATATTAAAGTAATAGAACTGACTATCAAAAGCCCAATCCATACAGAAAAAGACAATTCCTTTGTGCAGATTAAGCTAATTTTGTGGTGGAATAAATCAATCTGCCTCATAATTCTCAAACATGAATAGCACAATATTCTGGTACTTGCAAACTATGAAAGACTAAACTATTTGGTCAGTAGTTTACCTATTGAATGGTCGCACGTATCTGAACCTTTCTTTTTTTTTGGCTCAAGAAAAAAGCTTTCTGAGGCATTTTTTCTGATAAGACTGACTTATCTAGGAGGTGAGCGGTGGGTGTTGCTGTGTGGCAATCAACATCATCTCTTTGTGGACAATTTTACACTTGAAAGATCAGGAGAGTTTACTGGAGGAAGACCTGGCTTGTAAGCAAGTAACTCCTGGTACAGGAGATTGGGGAATGATAACATTGTATCCTGTGAAAACATGATACATGCGGGAGCCTCCCTGGTCTCTTATCAGCTGATTTAAGTTTGCAAGGCCTGGAACAAAAGAGTTCCTGCTGAGATCCCAAAGCCAGAAGCCTTCACCCCAAGAAGAACTGACTCGACCACAATGGACTTACAAATAAGTTTGTACCTTCAATGTTAGCAGTCTTCATCAACACAACCCCTAACAACCCATCACTACTGAAAATCAACGTCTGAACTACGAGCAACTCGGGAATCCTGATGGTGACTCTCTGTCTTGCTTTCTACGAAGACTCCTTGCTTTTATTTCCTATCTCTTTTCAGTCATCTATCTTCCCTTCCCCATCTCCTTAAGAAACTAGGATTTGTAATAAACTGGTCAGGCTAACATTTGACCTGTTGTGTCATAATCTTGCCATTGGGTACACATATATTACTCCCTTCTATAATTGGAGGAAGACAGCATGCAATTTATCACATAGACTATACCTGCTGAAGGGCCAGTATACTGTTTCTGTTTACATCAAGTCGGGCCATTTTCATTTCCTCTTTCATGTTAAATAACATTTGTTGATATTCTATGAGTTCATTGTCTTTCGAAGCCAAGATTTTCTGAAAAGGTAAATAAAATACCATCAGAATGCTTGAAGTAATCCTTAAAATAATAAAAAAGGGTATTAAAAGTACCTTCCATTCTTCAACTTTTGCATTTATAGCTGCCATGAGAGGATCATCTTCCTCATTCTTTGCTTTCAGCTGGTCTGAAAGCTCCTGAACCTAAAAATGTAATTTGGATCAATTTGTCATTAAAAAAAAAATGCTTTACTTAAAAAACACATATGTACAAATACACAACACCAAACACATACAACTCAGTGGAACAGCATTAAAGAAGAAAGTGGCTCTAAGAACACGGTTTGACTAAAACTGTATGAAAGTATTTTGCAATCTGCAATCAAGTTTAAATATTTGCATCACGTTTAAAGATCATATTATTTCCAGAAAGTGTTATTTCAGCAGAGCACATGTTTTTAACTGGATATACTGAATGTTTTTTAAATTAAGCTAAAATGTGACAGTGCAATATAAAACAAATTCAGTAATATAAACGTTAGTTCTTACTTGAAATTTGTACTGTTCATTCTCCTTTCTTAACTGATCCATAACAATATCAGATTGTTGCACAATTAGTTTCATTTTATTATATTCATCAGTCATCTTCTCCATTTCTTGTACTGATTCCTCAAGATTCTTCCTCATTTCTTGGTTCTGAATGTCTAATTTCTCATTAGTTTCAGTCAAATTCTGCAAAATTTAAGAATCCGCTGCTTTTAAGAAGTGCGCGTCTTAGATACCTGAATAATCAGAAACTGAAAGCTACCTTAAATACAATACTTTAAAGTATAAATTACCCCACAATAGAGTATTTCACTTCTGGTTCCTCAAATTCAACAAATCCTATGGGCTAAGCACTAAACATCTCTCAGTGTCAGTAACTTCATTAAACTTCCTTTCTTCAAACATTTACAGATAGAAAATGTATATACATCACAGAACCCAACTGCATTAAAAATTCCCTTAATCCATGCGATTTGGCCTGTTATTTGGCATAGCTTTTGTGAAAAACACATTGTCAGTAACAGTCTAATAAATACTCAACAGCATCCATTTTACCTGAATTTCATCCAAATACTGGACAAGCTCAAAGTTCTTTTTGGACAACTGAGATCTGTAATCAGAATCATCTCCTCTTCGTGATAGGACTGTTTCTTTATGGGAATCTATTTGCCTCTGATAGTCAACTACGTCCTGACGCAATTGTTCATTCTGCAGAGAAAGCAATCCAAAAATGAATCTATCTTGAAGGGCTGAAAACAAAGTTGTTTTTCTAGCAAGCTAACACAAAGGGCTAAGACAGTCAAATCCATCTAAATTTCTACAGTTTGCTTTTGAAAATTTAAATGCCTCACCTTTCTCTTTATTTGTTTTTTCTTCTGATTAAAAAGAAGAGAACAAGAGCAAGAGAACAAAGCGTGAAAAATATTAGAAAGCACCTTTGCTTTATACAGACTAAGTAGGAATCAACATAAAAGTAAAACAAAGTAGAATTCTCTATATACCCATGCATGTGTATATGTACATACACACATAGATAAAAAGGCCTAAGGAATGATTTTCAAGCTTGTACCAGAACATTAATTTTACATTAATTTTACCTATTGGAAGATTACAGATTTTAAAGGTATAAAAACAACTACAAAATTGTCTTAAAAGAATGATTCAAGAAGAAATTTAGTAGTAGTGAATGTTAACTCTTATTTTTCTGTAAACTACTGACTTTAAAAAAACAAATAAACAAACAAACAAAAAACTACTTAGCAAAAGCAGCAAGCATACACTGAATCCTCACTGCTATCCATCTAAGACTTTTGTCAATAGCATTTAAGAAAAATACTAGAAAACACTAAAAACTCAAATAACCAAAGTCCAAATAAAATTAATTTTAGGACTGCAAATTCAAGCATAGATCCTGATCTCAAGTAGATCTATGATAAATATGTAAAAACTGATTAAAATCTTTTAACCTCTTCATATCAGAATCTAGAAAATGCTCTAGAATGTAATTAAATACCATATCATGTAAAAAAATTATATAGAAAACTAAAAATGTAAAACCTAATTAGCAGTCATTCTTTACTAACCTCTCTCCTTAATTTGATGTTCTCGTTTTCTGCGTCTTCATTTCGAAGAGCAAGCTAGAATAAGATAATAAAACCTTTATTGTGTATACAATTACATATATATATACATACAAATATATAAAGCTAACATCACAGATTATGAAAGCAAAATCCAGAAACAAAGCAGTGAGTCTGTTCCATCACTGGTTTTTATTCCAGAAGCTCTTTTCAGAATGTCAAACTTTTAAACATTGTTTCTCAACTGCTCTAGAGATACCAAACTGAAGCCCTTCTTACCTGTTCATTCACTTTCTTCTCTTTTTCCAGTTCCTTCTCTATGTCTATTAATTGTCTCTCCTTCTGTTCTACTTGTTTCTCCAGTCGGCGGATCTCATCACGCAAAAAACGGGTATCACGACCACCAGCTGAACTCTGTGCCATCTTGAGAATATAGAAGTGACATAACAAACTGTTCCTCAAAATAGAAATGCATTGAAAAAGAAAAAAAAAGGATGCTACAGCTAATATTCAGGAAACGCAACAGAAAGGCCTCACTAGCTTCTTTCAACAACAACAAAATAAAATAAAATAAATGGGGCTTACCAAAATACATTTCATTGTATATACAGTTATTTGCAAAAATAAGGCTGGTGAATACTCAAAACCCAATTAAAAAAGCGTTAACTAAAATTCAAGGCTGTTATATCTCTTTAACTGGTTAAAATTGTAGTGTTTAAAAACAAAACAAAAGACATTATAAACTGCCCCCCCGCCCACCAGCATTCTATAAACTAAAACCATTTTAAAATGTTTAAAATTACCTGTAATTCACTTTCCAACTTCATAATCTTTGTTTTAAATAGATTTTCTGTTAAAATAGAACAGATACAGTGAATTACTCATGAGTGTACACCAAGCAACAATGATGAACTCAAGCCCTTAAATATCTGGCATTACTGAAGCAATTGACTACAGATAATTTCCTAAATTTAAAGAAACAACAAACAAACAAACCTAACAAATAAATTTAACAAACCCTCTATGAAGAGCATAATAAGATTTGCTTACCACATTTGGCTTGCTCTTCCCCAGCTTTTTCAACTTCTTCCAGCGCCAGCTCTACTTCTTGAGCTTTCATCTGAAAAAACAATCACAGTAAGCAAAGGAAGAGGATTTACTACTAATGCAAACTAAGAGGGTGTCCCACAGATCTCAAGTTTAGGATTATGAAAACATTTGCAAAATAACATCATATTGTTCTTCCAAAAAAAAAAAAAAAGAAACCTATTTTTTTCCCTTTTCTATTTTTTTCAATTTAGAACTTCAGATTGTTGAAATATTTTCTTTAGCGATTTATTACAACGAAGCTGTCCAAACATTCAAAAGCACACAGCTGAAAATAAGAAATGGGGAAAAAACTTCTCTAAAAACAACGTGCTGAGCTGTGCAGGTCTTATTTCTTGTTTTCAGTTTGTTTATGAATGTGACACTGTGACAGACTTATAGGATCAGTTTTAGGGTAGTTTCTTCCATTCACATAGACACTTTTGAAGCTACTCCAAAATATCAACCCACCACAGCAACTTTGCTTGAAGTTAAAACCATCATTAATAACTCACTACATGTAATTCATTTCTGAGATATTTGTTTGCATTTTCTGCATTTAAAACTAAGATTCCCTAACCACATAACAATGCTTGTCCTATTCACTTCACTTCCCTCTGATGAAATGATCTCAGGAGTAAGCAGCATGTTCAATGCACGAGAAAAAAGAAGAAGAAAAAAAAAGAGTAATCATTCATAAATTTTAAAAAGCAAATGCATCTAGAAAATTGGAGAAAGTGAGAATTACAAATACAAACCTTCATGAGTGACTGAGTAATTTTAAATAGATGCATCAATTGTTCAGGAGTTTCATTTTTCAAGTCTTTCCCATCAACCTGAAGAGACAATAGTGTTTTTATACAGTATCACTGAAATTCACAAAATAAATAATTTATGCATGAGAAAGAGCAAAAACAGGTTAGGGAAGAACACACAGCAATAGTTGTACTGCACGTTCCACTTTCCCCTTGAGTACCTTGGACAGAGTCTCAAACAATGTGTCTGCTACTTCTTCTTGACGAGGCAGAGCATCTGGATCTACTCTCATAAGCTTCTTCCAATCTAGAATGGGTGCCATATTGATTTTATATTATATTTCCTGAAACAAAAGATAGAAGTAACAATTGTCAGACATCGTTGCTGCCAATCAATCAAACAATTTAAAGGAGGCTGGGCAGTGAAGCAAAAAATTATTTTAATAACTGTATGGGTTTTCTAGTACTAATTAATTTTCTGTTCATATTTCAGCATATTGTAAACAAGATGACAGTAAAACTATTTCTTTGCACAAAATACTTACACACATTTGTTCATACACAATCAAAGAATTTAAAATTCAAACGTTGAATATCTGGACACAAGAGAAGCTTCAATTTCCCCTTCCAAATTTCCTTTGGTTCTTCTTAAATTCTACTGCCCTTTGAAATAACCCTTGTAAGATAAAACCTCCATAAAATCACAAAATCCCTATCTATTATATTTAAACAATGAACGCTTTCACTTGATGCTATGTATTCACTTCTTTGTAGTCATCTGTAGGATACTAAACTCTTGTATTAAGCATCCTTTCCTGTTGACTAGAATAACTGAATTCATAAAGGACAGCAGGCCATCCAGTAACTGACAAAAACCTTATGTAAATTAATGCTAATCTTTGTTCTAAAGCTTACTTGCTGGTTGCTGTGGGTCACAATGACTTCTCATACACCCAGAAGACAATACAGTACCTGAAAAAGAAAGAATTGATTGAAAACTCTGGATTATTATGTTTTTTGCTGAGAGTGGTGAGGTGCTAGAACAAGCTGCCAAGAGTGGTTGTGGATGTTTCATCCCTGGAGGGGTTAAAGGTCAGGTTGGATGGGGCCCTGGGGAATCTGATCAAGTACCTGATCTAGCGGTTTGCAACCTTGCCTGTGGCAAGGGGGTTGGAACTTGATGATCCTTGAGGCCATTCTATATTCTATGATCCATAATGTTTTCTGGAGCTATCTATGGCCTATATTGTCAATACTTACAAAATTAGATTCTACTAAATTTTTAAAAAACGTCATTAGATCTTATATATATCACACTACATTATTGAAACAACATAAATGGTTAAGAAAATTAAGAAAGAAATAAAAATAAGCTGGATATTTAATTCAGTATTATCTGATAAACTAATGATATAATGGGGATACATATTATCTGGGAAAAAAAAATCAAGTTCAGTAAATATACGTAACAAAGATTTATTATAAAGCATATTTCAAGATCACTTCCCTCATTCAACAGTCATCATTTAAAGACTCAAAAACTAAAATTTCCTTCCTGAATGAAAGGCGGAACAGGTATTACATTCCCATTGCCTGAGCGATCTGAAAGAACAGTTCTAAATCTTTGAAATCCAGCCTTATTCCTAACAGAGGACTAAAATCACCATTTTGTCATCTTCTTTAAATATGTGAAGTCCTTCAGAGCATTGGGCAGGTCTTCAACATTTGTTAAATATTTAAGGGAATGAGCACTCTATACAGTCCTGGTATACTCTATACAGATCTGGTAATGATGAAATATCTACTTCTTTTGCTTTTCTGCTTCCTTATAAATGACAATGGAAAACACAAGAAAATCACAAGCAGGCACGTAAGTGATTTTGGCATTCTCACCACTTCAGTTAATCTGATGCTACTTGATTTCAAGATCCTCGTGTTTTTTTTAACATTTTAAATTTTTTATTAAAAAATTCCATGTATAAAACATGGATGTAAAATGACTGTTAATCAGAACTATTCTGAGAGAAAATTCACAACTTTACTACTTTCCTACCTTCCTTCATTTCTCTTTTTCTCTTCCTGACTTATAGAATAACTTCTTTAAGAAAGTTTCACGCCTGTATCTATGGGGAGAGAGAGATGTATATAAATAAAATAGTCTTTATTACTGGGACATCACCTCTGCTAAGCCATAGGCAGCACAAACTAAGTATACAGTATGTTCTATTGTAGATATGTATTTAAAGTACAATAAAAGCTATATTTCTTCTTCATAAAATGTAGCTGATCTCTTCCCCTCAGCAGAATACATGCTTTTACTTGGCAGGTGATCCATGTAGTGATACAGATTTCATCACAGTGAAATCAAGCACCACGACCAACAGCAGTTCCTCTTCCATAAAGATGCGACTAATGGCTAACCGAATCATATATATGTACTCGAGTGCCACTAAATACCAGGAAATAGCACAGGCACGTGGGAGATGTGCTTTGCTGCACTATCCCTACAGAACACTATGTGTGAATTACAAAACCACAACTAAAATAGGATCTTGCACAGGGCTCCTTTTTCGTTCCGATTGATACACCCTGGTCCTGACATGGACATGACCGCAATCTTTCCAGGATGCTGCTGTAAGACAGCTCTGCCTCCATTTCACCACTGTTAAATTAGCAAATCGCCTTATTTCGCATCCACCTTCGTAAGGGGGCACAGCTGAAGCCTCAGCTGCACAGAGGCAGCGGTGTGCGGTGTAACCATCCGAGGGCACCGCTCGGACGCTCCCGCCTGGCACCAGAGGTCCCCGCCCGCGTTGCGGCTCCCCCAGCCGCCCCCTGCGAGGACCGCTCTCCTCAGAGCAGCTCCGTCGCCGCTCGCCGCCCCCGACCTCACCGCTCCTCCGGAACGGTGATGGCGGCAGAGGCCGCTGCTAGGCGACGCCATCAAACTCTCCCGCCGGTTCCGTTCTGAGGAAGCCGGGTAGGCGTAGGGGAGGAGAAAACCGACGCTTCCGCAGTACTACGAACCGCGCAAGGTGCAGCGGATTTTCACGGGCACAGACCCACAGAGCAGGGAGCGGCGCAGGGAGCGGTGCAGATGACGGCCGCTCACCGCAGGCGCGGGTTAGAGCCGCCGCCCCGCACTCCGGCGGCGGACTGCAAATCCCAGCATGCCGTGCGGCCCTCCAGGACCACAGCTCCCGGCGTGCCTTGGCGCCCGTGGCCTCGAGCGGGGCGTTCTCCCGGCAGCCTCCGCCGGCAGGAGGGGCGATAGCGCTCAGGGGAGGGTCTGCGCATGCGTAGTGAGGTGGAGGCGCCGGCGCGAGCTCTGGGCAGCGACGAGAGCGCTCCCGCGGCGGGCTCAGGTAGGGCGGGCTGCGGTGGCGGCGAGTCGTAGGCCGGCACTCCGCTGACGGAATCTGGGGGCCGGGCTCGGCGGAGCCGCTATCGCGGCCGTGTTCCGCGGGGATGAGTTGTTTCTGTTGCTGAGGTGCGGCCTCGGTATTGGCTGCGCTTCCATGCCCCTGTTCGGCCCGCTTCCTTCCTCACAGCCCCCTCCCTGCCTCACCCTCCCGTCGCCCCCCGCTGCCCCAACCCGGCCCCGTGCCCTTGCGCTGCGGGCTGCGCGCTCCTTATCAGGAGTCCTCCTGGCTGCGCCTGCGGTACTGCCGGCATGTGTAATGCGCTTACCTGTACGTCCTGTGTGTGTAAGTATCGGTAGTCGGCCCCAAGG